ACTGCAAGTGTGCTGTCTAAAAGAGACCACTTCAATAACATTGCATAAGTGCATATCGCCAGCTTTTCTCCTGAAAGTGCACTACATTTCCTAAAATGACTCTAAACTAAACGATTAGATTAAAAAAGATTGTTCAAAGATTGTTTCGTGTATAGTAACCAAGTTTTATTTTGATTATTCCACAGAAATACCTTAGAAAACACAAGGTCAGATTCCTCCAACCAAGGGAACTTGGGCAAGTCTAGTGGTTACTTTTTCCCCTGAAAGTGCCCTAGATTTCTCAAAATCACTCTAAAACACCCAACCAGAGTAATATGTTTGTGTTTAGGCACTTTTTGTGTGTGTAGTAACCGTCAGATGGTCACTGAACAGACTACAAATGTGCCGTCTAAAAAAGACAACATCAATAACATTGCATAAGTGCATATCGCCAACTTTTCTCTTTGAAAGTGCACTAGATTTGCAGAAATTACCCTAAACTAACCAACCAAATCTAAAGAGATTGTTCAGACACTTCCTTTATTTGTGTGCAGTAATCGTCAGATAGTCACTGAACAGACTGCAAGTGTGCTGTCTTAAAGAGACCACTTCAGTAACAATGCATAAGTGCATATCGCTAACTTTTACCCTGAAAGTGCACTAGATTTCCAGAAATGACTCTAAAAAACCAACCAGATTAAAAAAGGTTGTTCGGACACTTGCTTTATTAGTGTGTGGTAACCATCAGATGGTCACTGAACAGGCTCCAAGTGTGCCATCTAGAAGAGACCACTTCAATAGAATTGTAGAAATGCACATCGCATTTAAGTGTATATTGTCATCTTTTCCCCTTGAAAGTGCGCTAGATTTCCAAAAATGACTCTAAACCAACCAACCAGATAAAAAAAGATTGTTCTGACACTTCTCTTTTAGTGTGTAGTAACTGTCAGATGGTCGCTGAGCAGGCTGCAAGCGTGTCGTCTAAAGAAAACCACTTCAATAACATTGATAAGTGCAAATCACCAACTTTTTCCCTGAATGTGCACTAGATTTCCAGAAAGACTTTAAACCAACCAACCAGATTAAAAAAAAAATTGTTCAGACACTTCCCTTTTAGTGTGTAGTTACCATCAGATGGTCACTAAGCAGGGTGCAACCGTGCCATCTAAAAGAGACCACTTCAATAACATTGCATAAGTGCAAATCACCAACTTTTCCCCTTTAAAGTGCACTACATTTCCTAAAATGTCTCTAAACCAGCCAACCAGATCTAAAAAGATTGTTCAGACACTTCCTTTATTAGTGTGTAGTAACCATCAGATGGTCACTGAGCAGGCTGCAAGTGTGTCGTCTAAAGGAAACTACTTCAATAGCATTGAAAAGTGCAAATCACCAACTTTTTCCCCTGAAAGTGCACTAGATTTCCAGAAATGGCTCTAAACCAACCAACCAGATTATAAAAGATTGTTCAGACACTTCCCTTTTAGTGTTTAGTAACTATCAGATGGTCACTGAGCAGGCTGCAAGCGTGCCGTCTAAGAGAGACCACTTCAATGACATTGCATAAGTGCAAATCACCAACTTTTCCCCTTGAAAGTGCACTACATTCCCTAAAATGACTCTAAACCAACCAACCAGATTAAAAAAATAATGTTCTGACACTTCTCTTTTAGTGTGTAGTTACCATCAGATGGTCACTAAGCAGGCTGCAATCGTGCCATCTAGAAGAGACCACTTCAATAACAATGCATAAATGCATATCGCCTATAAGTGCAAATCACCAACTTTTCCCCTTGTAAGTGCACTACATTTCCTAAAATGACTCGAAACCAACCAACCAGATTAAAAAAATATTGTTCTGACACTTCCCTTTTAGTGTGTAGTAACCGTCAGATGGTCACTGAACAGGCTGCAAGCGTGCCGTCTAAGAGACCACTTCAATAACATTGCATAAGTGCATATCGCCAATGTAATGAAAGTTTTGATGAGGTGATTTGAAGGCGGGAAATCCTCTCAGCCTACGCAGGGCGAGGGCTAATTGGCTCTGTCATGGATGAGTGGCCGAGAGGTTTCGCCCGCGCCTCAGACTCTTGTCACTTCAACAAAATGATTTAGTTGCTCACATTGACTGTCCTGTCAGTACTTCCTGTTTAAACACTGGCGACACAACAATTTGAAACCTCGTCTCCGGCTTCGCAAACACTAGCCTATTATTTTCCCTCTATTACTTTTTCTTCTCCTCCCCGCGCTGATGGACTTGACACCTTTTTATCTATCACTCTAGGAGCCGTACAGATGCACTGCAGAAGTCGAGAGCGATGGGCTCGGTGCCTGCATTAACTTAAGATAAGAGCTTTGCAGACACTGGAGTCCTTGACCCCGCTCAACCTGTGCTACATCTCGCCTACATATTCCCTCACATCCGCACACCGTCCCCTGCTGCCTCCTGCCTCTTTGATGCGACACACCACCTGCATCTGTCTGCAATGCTGAGCTATTGCATAATTAATTCGCAGTGTTTGTAAGTGGCCGTAATTGGATGGGGAACAGCTGCTATATGATGAGCTAAATGAAAGGAGGTGTGTTTGCGTAGGTTGTAATGGGTCAAACTTTTAGCTCGTGGGATACGTGGTGAACAGTGGTAACATGGTCAATTCTTGGTAGATCGCTATACACACATAAAATGATGTTTGCCATTTTGTTCAAACTACTTATTTACAATGAGCTGAAACAACAGAAATCTTGGCTTTTTTGAAAATGTATTTCCCAAATGATGTTTAAGGGAGACAGGACTTTTTCACTGTATTTTCTATAAAAGAGTCTTATTTGTTTTATTTTGACTAGAATGAAAGCAGCTTTTTTACCAGTTTAAAGTCAATAATATTAGCCCCTTTAAGCATTTTTTTTTAGATTGTCTACAGAACAAACCATCGTTATATAATTTCTTAAATGTCACTTTAAGCTGCATAGAAGAGTCGTAAAAAATATCTAGTCAAACATTATGTGCTGTTATTAGACACAGACTTGAACTGTACATTTGTAAAAACTAATAAGCTAACTTAATCCCTTCATGTTGTCTTGACATAAATAGATTTTTGTGTATTTTTACAGTCTATTTTACACAACTTTGCAAAAAATAAAAAAAATACTGCATTTACTTATTTTCTAGCTGCTTTACTACTTAACTTTGAGTTGTTTACTTTACTTTTTTACTTGCTTATTTACTCATTTACTTATTTACTTCATTATTTACATATTTACTTGCTCACTTATTTACTCATTTATTTTATTTACTTACTTTACTTATTTACTTTATTTACTTATACTTTAGTTACTCATTTACTTTATTTACTTATTTACTTCATTATTTATTAACTTGTTCACTTATTTACTCATTTACTTATTTATTTACTTATTTACTTTATTATTCATTTATTTATTTTACTTATTTGCTCATTTACTTTACTTATTTACTTCATTATTTTCATATTTACTTGTTTACTTATTAACTTATTTACTCATTTACTTGTTTATTTACTTTACTTATTTACATCATTATTTATTTACTTGTTCACTTATTTACTCGTTTACTTTACATATTTATTTACTTTACTTTATTTACTTATTTACTTCATTGTTTATTTACTTGTTCACTTATTCACTCATTTGTTTATTTATTTACTTATTTACTTCATTATTTATGTACTTATTTACTTTACATATTTATTTACTTTACTTAACTTTATTTACTCATTTACTTTGTTATTTACTTATTTAATTAACTTCTTTACTCATTTACTTTATTTACTCATTTACTTTACCTATGGATTTACTTCGTTATTTATTTACTTAGTTACTTATTCACTTATTTACTCATTTACTTTACATATTTACCTTATTTACTTTATTTGCTTCGTTATTTACTTATTTACTTTAATTATTTACTTATTCACTTCATTATTTGTTTATTTATTTACACTTTACTTATTTACTTATTTACTCACTTATTTACTTCATTGTTTATTTACTTGTTCACCTATTCACTCATTTGCTTATTTATTTACTTATTCATTATTTATGTACTTATTTACTTTACTTAACTTTATTTACTCATTTTCTTTGTTATTTACTTATTTAATTAACTTCTTTACTCATTTACTTTACCTATGGACTTATTTACTTCGTTATTTATTTACTTAGTTACTTATTCACTTATTTACTCATTTACTTTACATATTTACCTTATTTACTTTATTTGCTTCGTTATTTACTTATTTACTTTAATTATTTACTTATTCACTTCGTTATTTGTTTATTTATTTACTCTTTACTTATTTACTTATTTACTCACTTATTTACTTCGTTATGTACACATTTACTTCGTTATTTATTTACTTATTTACTAATTCACTTATTTACTTATTTATTTACTTTACTTACTTTATTTACTTCATTATTTACTTATTTACTTCGTTATTTACTCATTTACTCTATTTACTTATGTGCTTATTTACTTCCTTATTTATTTACTTATTTACTTATTCATTTATTCACTCATTTACTTGACTTATTTTTTACTTTACCTACTTTATTTACTACGTTATTTACTCATTTATTTATACTTATTTACTTATGCACTTTGTTATTTTTTTATTTACTCATTTTCCTATTCACTTCTATAGTAATTTACTTTACCTATTTACTTGCTTATTTATTACAGTGATTTGTTCTGTAAAAAACATATAGCTTAAAGGGGCTAATAATATTGACCTTAAAATAATAAAAAAATTAAAAACAGATTTTTATTCTAGTTGAAATCAAACAAATAAGACTTTTTTTCCAGAAGAAAAAAAAGTATTGTAGGACATACTGTGACAAATTGCTTGCTCTGTTAATATAGTCTGTTATATTTGAAAAAGAATACAAAAAAATACAGGAGGGCTAATCATTTTCGATGTCAACTCTACATAACCAAACATGTGTTCTGATACTGATATTCTCCATTTCCTCCATTCCTGCAGGAGGCGCTGTCCATGTCTCTTGGAGGTCACCAGACTGTCAGGAGAGCACACGGTCTGAGAACAGGGGGAAGGTGTGCGCTGTTCTGCCACCCCAGTGCCACTCTGACAGCCCAGGTCAGTGCTTTACTCTTGATGATACATTCTCAGCCAAGGCTACACTTGGGAGATGTTTAAGCCGTGTTCCAAATGTCGGCCGTAAACTCTAACCAGTTCACACAGACTCAAAGTAAAACGTTGATAGAGATGGTACTGTAAAATACAAGCCTACACCGACAATTTAGAAAGGTGAAAGCATTTTTTTTCATGGCAAGTTGACATTTGCATGGAATTGCTCATATGTGGATAAGTTTGTCAGTGATTTATTATATAGTGACATTTCTCACTTACCCCCAGCCCTAAATAAGTATTTAAAAGCACTTTTATAGTGCCTAAAAGTCTTTACTAATAAAAAACTTAAAGCAAATCTAGTCTAAATTTGTCCTTTTGAGTAGGAACCATTATATAGTATGTGAAGGAACCATCGGTTTTGCATTGACAGTGTATTCCCCTGGGTGGAATTTACAAAGCTCGGCTCCATGTAAAGACTTTGCATCACATTGCATCATATTTGCATCACATCCTTTCCATCCGTTTCACTTGCAGATGTTCTCATGCAGTCGTTGTACTTTTTAAACAGTTATTTGACTTTTATTTCATTATACATTTTTAAAATAAACATTTATTAATTTTTCCCTGTCATTAAAAAATTTAATAAATTATGAGGGAGCAAAATATTTTTAGACTATGTACAGCATTCAAAAGATAGTAAAACTGGGTCTCATGATCATTCCATCTTAAAAATAACCATTAATATACATTTTAACGGGGACCTATTATGCAAAGATCACTTTTAAAAGGGGTTTAAACACAGTTGTGTGGCAACAGTGTGTGAATATAGCCAGCCTCTAATGTCAAAAAGGTATTAATTTGATTTTCTATAATCACACTTGATCAAAACAGTCTGCAGAAACACTTTGATTGACATTCTCCCTTTGTACATGTCATCAGAGGGAAAAAACCCTGCCCTCTAGTGATGATCTCCCCCTCATTAGCTTAGGACGTTAGTCTTGGCTTTTTTGATCTGCCACTATGCTGACACACAGGCATTTGTAGCTCCGCCTAGGGCTGTGCGATTAATCGAAAATCGAATCGCAATTAGAAACATTGCAATTAGCTAATTGCAAGAGGCTGCGATTTATAAAATGTGTTATTTAATTCCCCCCTCCCATAGATTTACTCAAAGGAGAAGAACCCCCAAAATGTCTATATTGCAACAGAAACCAAACTGTTAAACATATTCTTGTGGAATGCCCTATTTTTGATGTTATCAGACAACAATTTTTATCTGGAGAGACTTTATGAAATATTTGGAAATGTGAATCCTTCTGAAATTATACCGTTTTTATTGAAAGGAAAACTGTTTTTTTGTTATAAATTATCATTATTATTATTATTATTATTATTATTTATGTATTTTACCTTGTGTATTATTTATTGCTGTTTATGACTTTAAATTGTTAGAATATTTGGTAACACTTTAGAATAACCATCCGTTATAACTAGTTAATAGTTCATTAATAAACTGTTGGTTAATGAGTTATAAATTACTTGTTAAATAAAAGGGTCACTTTACAATGTTCATTAGTTAATGTTAATTAATGCATTTACTAACATGAACAAACAATGAACAATGCATTTGCTACAGTATTTATTCATGTTAATAAACGTTAGTTAATGAAAATACAGTTGTTCACTGTTAGTTCATGTTAACTCATGGTGCATTAACTAATGTTAACAAGCATGGACTTAAATGTTAATAATGCATTATTAAATGTTCAATTATGATTAATAAATGCTGTACATGTGTTGTTCATGATTAGTTCATGTTAGTAAATGCATTAACTAATGAACCTTATTGTAAAGTGTTACCAATAAAAGTTATTTATTTATTTTTAGAACTGTGCCTTCTCGATAACCAATAGATAACTTACAAGCTGTTAGTTAACAAGTTATAAATGGTTTGCTAACTGTATTTTAATAATTTATAACTTTACCTAATAAATTAGTATTAGACCATGAACAAGCTGTTGGTAAATTACTTACTAAAGACTTGTTAGGTATCAGTTAATAGTTTATACATTCCTCATTTACTAAGTTAATAAATGAAGAGTAGTTGCAACTTTAGAATAACGTCCCAATAACATACCTTTTCTAATAACTAACATTTAACTGATATATTAACTCACACTTTACAGATCAGTTGTTCATAGTTTGTTTACGATTTAATAACATCAATGAAACTTTTGTTGAACTTTTTAAATAAAATATTTTTAAATTATTTTGTTTTCACGTTTAGCACCAAAAGGGGCCAAAGCTCATGGGTTTGTATTCTTGTATACTTACTGCTGCATATTTTAAATATCACATCAAATTTCTGTGGTTTGAACTTGTTTCATCCGTTTGCTGTTTTACAAAGTTTCACTGGTGTTAGTAGATGGTTAACAAACTATGAACAACTGATCTGTAAAATGTGAAACAAAATATTAGTTAAGTGTTAGACATGAACGTTATTGCAACGTTATTCTAAAGTTGCAACTGTTCCTCATTTACTAACAGTTAATAAATGGAGAATAATTGCAATAGAATAACATCCCAATAATGTATATAAACTATTAACTGATACTTAACAAGTCTTCAGTAAGAAATTTACCAACAGCTTGTTCATGGTCTAATACTAATTTATTAGGTAAAGTTATAAATCATTAAAATATAGTTAACAAACCATTTGTAACTTGTTAACTAACAGCTTGTCAGTTATCTATTGGCTATCTATGATGCACAGTTATAAATAATTAACAAACTATTAATTTTTTTTAACAAGTTATTTAAAACTTAGCAACAGTTTATTAATGGACTAATAGCTAGTTATATCAGATAGTTATAAATAATTAACACACTATTAACTATTATTTATAAATAAGTCATTAATAACACATTAAATAACAGTTTATTACTGATCTATTAGCTAGTTATAATGGATAGTTTTTCTAAAGTGTTACTGAATATTTGTATAATTATAAAAAAAGTGGTATTTATAAAATGTGGTAAACTTGATCTGTTTTTTTTTTTTTTTTTTTAACATGGCATAGCCATAGAAGCTTTGGTTGTGGACTTGTGTTAACTTGTTTCCATGTACTTGCGTTTACATGTTTCCACATACTCTCAGGCTAATATTTTCTCGGAATACCTCTAAATGACAAAACGATGTTTTATCGCAGTTGGTCAAACCGTGATTTTCATAGTTGTGGACTAATTTTGACCTGTGCCATTGGACTCGTGTTAACCTGCGTCTACAAAGTCACACACATGCTGATATTTTCCGCTGTATGGTGTTTTCCACGTCACTTCTTGTGTTTCGGGACAGTTAAAAGTGTTTTGCGTCTTGTGTAATGTAAATTTGTTTCGTCCTTCGTAAAATCGTTTTTTTCCAATGTAATTGTGTGATATGATTGATAAAAATGTTTTCCACAATGTAAATTTGTCTCGAGCTTTGTGAAGCGTTTCACACTTTGTAATGTTGTTTTGCACTTCCCAGTCACCGTACACAAGAGACTTATGTTACATATAAAAAGGGGGATAGTAGGTCCTCTTTAAGGTTTGAACGTTCATAATGAATTATAACTCCGACTCCAGGAAGCTTTTTATTTTACCATGTGCAATTTAGTTCCCGAAGTGCAATCCCAGCATAATGGAATTGATGTCTCCTGCGTGATCATTTCATTCTGGCTCCTACTCATTGTAATTCTCTTTGACAGGGGATCAATTGAGGTGAATCTATAGGAGAAACATTGTTATTGAGTTTTATTTATTTTATTTTTTTCCTTTCTGCATTGCTGGTTGGCTTTGCTTAACCACTGAGGCGTTCATTTGATATTAAAACCTCCCTGTAAGGTAAAGTGTTTCACATACTGTAGGGATGCATATCTTCTTCCTGCCAGTGTGTATGGCATGAAAAATGCATGATCAGAGGAGGATATTTGTTGTGAGAGTGCTTGCCGTGATTCTTGCTGGTGCATTATTTTTTGTGTGTGTGTGTGCGCAGTTTGATTTTTGAAATAAGAAGAAAAAAAAGGTGACCTTTAGAGAAGTCCCGTTTTCAGAGTGTTGAGTGGGAAATAGAGACGTTCTCGTTCCTACCCGAGGGATTTGATGAAGGAATAGATTATCGTGCTTTATCAACCTCTTTAGGATAGTAGAGAGTGCAAAGACATCTTTCTCTCTCCTTTCACCTTTTTCTTTCAAGCTGTTTTTTATTCTTAATGCGGCAAAGTGTTCTTATAGAAAGGAAAAAGCATGTACACTCTCAAAAATAAAGGTTCGAGAGCTGTCACTATGGTGGGACTAGGCATGGGACGATAACCGTATACCGTGTATGATAGGGTATACCACGGTTTGGAAATGTCAAGGTTTTAAATCCACCCAAATTTTCTGCAATACTGTTCCTTAGGTATGTCCACATTTTTATTTACGTTTTTTTTTTGTTTATTTTTGTTTTGTTTTTTAGGACAACATTATTTTCAGCAGAAAATAAATCTAAAGATGCCGTTTTAAATTGCAAACAAAACCTGTTTTTAAAACGAATGAAGACAGCAGATGTCAGTAATTAAACTATCCTGACATGTTTACTCTTACAAAATATTTAAAAGGTTTCCCAAAATAAAATAGATTGTTTTCAAAAGGCTACAAAGTTTTTGTTTTTAACCCAGACATTTAAAAAAATATATATATTAAAGCGGTAATCCTAATACAGTGATATTTTCATCCAAGCTTATCATACCGTCAGAATCTTATACCGGCCCATGACTTGGTGGGACCTTTTTAAAGGGTACATATTTGTACTTAAAGGATTCATATTGGTACCATATAAGGTATATTTTAGCACCTTAACAATTTTAAGAGGTACACTTTTGCACTTTTTAGCTACTAATATGTACACTTGGGGTATTAATTAGGACCCTTTAGTTATTAATGTACAGTTGAAGTCAGAATTATTAGCCCCCCTGTTTATTTTTTTC